AGCTGAATGGGCCACCAAGGGGAGCTTCAACTACTGACCTAAATTTCCCAGGCAGCTCCATTCTCTGCCTGCCCAGCTGAGGCATTCCATGTCACTGGCCCAGACTGGGTGGCTCTACAGGGCTCCAAGCTGCCACATTTCACCCCAAAAGTGGCTCTGTGTGAGAAGTTTGGGAATGGCCTTCACATTGAACCGGTGGCAGCTGAGGGAGAAGCATCAACTTAAAATACAGCTCATGGAAAAGAGACTTTCTACCAATGCCAGAGCCCTCAAAGGGATTTATAACCTCCTTTGCAGAGCTGGTGGGACACAACACACAGCTCCAACCCTGCTCTGGGCTTCCAAAATACCCACACAATGGAATTCTGGCTGTCCTAGGTCATCCTGGCACAAGTGCAGCTCAATTCCAGCAGGAAAAATGTCATTTTTTGGTGGCTGCTGGTGAGCACTGTAGGAGGGAAGTCCTTCCCCAAGCCAAGCTGCTGCTGTCCCACATCCCAGAGATCTCCCACTAATGTCAACTGCCATTTGATGCTGCTCCTCACCACTGAAACAGAATCATACAATCTTCTAAGTTGGAAGAGACCTCCAAAGCCATTAAATCCAACCTGTGACCCATCACCACCTTGTCAACTAGACCTAAGTGCCACATCCAGTTGTTTCTTGAACACCTCCAGGGATGGTAACTCCACCTCCTCCCTGGGCAGTTCCAATGCCTGATAACTCTTCCCATGAAGAAATTCCTGATGTCCAACCTGAACCTCCCCTGGCACAGCTTAAGGCTGTTCCCTCTTGTCCTGCTGTTCCCTGGGAGCAGAACCCAACCCTACCTGCTGTACCTCCTCCCAGGGAGTTGGAGAGAGCAAGAAGATCCCACTGAGCCTCATTTTCTCCAGGCTGAGCACTCACAGCTCCCTCAGAAGTTCTCCAGACCTTTCTCCTTGTGTTCCAACCCCTTCCCCAGCTCTGGACACCTCCAGCCTCTCAAGATCTCTTGCAGTGAAGGGTCCAGAACTGGACATAGTTGGAGGTGGAGCCTCACCAGCAGATAGTTATTTTCTCTCCTCTCAGCCCCTTCAGAGAGCAGGACCGAGTGTCAACCGAAACCCCTGAGCTTGCTCTTTCCTCCCCTCCAAGCCCAGCAGGATGTCACCCAATCTCCTTCCTCCAGAAGCTCTGGAATTTGACATTTACATTCAAATGAGAAGACCACATTAAGATGGGATCACGACCAAAAGTGCTGACAAAACACTTCTTAATTACTACTTTTCCACCTAACCTCAGTGGGTTGGTTTTTCTTGGGAGTTGCTTTCAAATTCAGATGAACCTGAGCAGCTCAGGAGGGCTTGGAAAAGGGATCAGGTGGAGGAGCTAAGTCACACTGCATGAGCTGCTAACAGCCAATGGTTTCACTCATCCAGGAGAGATCCCAAAAGGTTTTCCAAAGCAGAGGAGTCACCCACTGCAGCAGCACAGCTGAGAACTTGAGAGGTTTTTCTTGGGAGTTGCTTTCAAATTCAGATGAACCTGAGCAGCTCAGGAGGGCTTGGAAAAGGGATCAGGT